ATACACGAGCGAATCGTACAAGTTGAGATATATAAACACCGTAAGATGGTGACAAGGGAACGTCACCATCTAAAAATGGATAATTAACGATAGGAAATGAAAAATCATCTCTTTTATCATATATTTTAGTATTAAGCTTTCCATTAATGATATAGATATCAAGATCGAGGAAAGGGCAGTGGTCATTGTTAGTATTAGCTTTATTTAAAGTAAGTTCAACAGGATAAATTTCTTTAGTATACATACTGAAGTCGTCATTATTGAGAGCCAAAATATCATCCAAATATCTAAAAGTATTATTAAATTTGTGTATCAGATGTTGTTTCGATGGTTCTTTGCTGATTTTTGTCATAAATTGTAACTCATAGCAATACAAAAAAAGGTCCGCAATAAGTGGTGCACAGTTAGTCCCCATTGGAATTCCGATAACCTGACGATATACGGAATCTCCAAAGCGAACAAAAATGTTATCTAGTAAAAATTCAAGGGCATATATAATATCAAAGCATGTCCAATTGGCATAGTTTTTTTGTTTATTGCTACTAACAAATGACCTAAAAGAGTTTGAACATATATATTCACATTCTTTAAATGCCCATTTAATTAGGTGTGTGAATTTTTTCTTAATGAGAATGTGAGGCAATGTGGTATATAGGGTAGAAAAATCAAAACTTTGAACAGATTCAAAATCACCAATATATGCATGTAATTTATCAAGTACTTCCAACGAGTTCTTGACACTCCAAAAGTAATTAATTCCACTATTTTCGAAGGCCTTATTTGAACAATTTATTATCAGGTTTTTGATTGTACCAAGTGTACTGGTAAGAAGAATAGACAATTTAGTAGTGGAACAATGGCTTGAAGACGAAATGAATCTATATTTGTAAGGTGTTTTGTGTAGCTTAGGAAGCCAATACATAGTTTGGACTTTCATTGTATTTGGTTCTGCTTGTAAAGCGGTAGCTAAAAGTTTATGTTTGTTACAAATGTCTTTTTCTGAAAATGGAGTCAGTTGGAATGTTGGTGAATTGGTGATTTCTTTTTTCAGAACCTCAATGTAAAATTTACGTCAAACAATAATAATATTATTAGCAGCTTTATCGGCCGGGACAAAAACAAATTCCTTGGCTAGTTCTTTTAGTTTATGTTTGATACGAGAAATAGATTTATTGTGGTTATTGTTAAGAGTAAAATGTTCTTTAAAATGTTGAATACGTACATCAACTATGTTCATTACTGAATTAAAAAAAGAGTCCAAAGATTTTTTGCCCGTTTTATCCATTTCAAACAGTAAGTATGGAGTGAGTCGTGGATGATATTACGACACTCATTCCAATTAATAATTGACGGGGGACGATATTTAGGTCCTTTACTGAGGAATGATTTTAACTCTCGGTCTTGAACGATGTTAAGATCTCCTGTTATAACATGGGAAATGGGTCCATAAATGTATTCGGAATTACTGCAATTACATGAAGTGGGTGTATTTTCACTGATATTAACATCTTTACACAATTGGCTATAATTAAACACAAATTTCCGGGTAGATTTCTTGTAAATATAACAAATAAGAGGGAGCTCAGTATTATCAAAATATCCCGGAATTTGTTCTTTAACAGAATGGTCGTTAAAAATACCGGCAATATTTACAAAATCAAAACCTTTATTGACATACTTTATTTTAATAAACTGTTTTTTATGATCTTCAGGGCGATCAATTTTGGGAAACAGTTTAGAATAACAATATGCCATTATAATTTGAACGATTTCATACTTAGGACTGCTATATGAAATTGTGTTGCAATCCTCTAAAATTTTATTTAACTTATTAACCGGTAATGCACAGAGCTTTGTTAACAGATAATGTCTGCCGTTGTTTTTTGAAATAGAAATTAGGTCCGAAATATTGGTATGATTGGTCCGAAATTTTCTTTGATTGCGATTTTTTCTACGACCATGAGAACGGTTTTTACGAACAGTTTTAGAAACTATATCCAAAATGTTAACAGAATCGGTTCTTGATATATTACCAATTCCCATGATATTATCATTAAGACCAAGAGGGTAGACTGTCTGTAATTTTTTAATACAATTTAATTCAATTATTTTCCGTGATCGTACAAACTTTGAATGAGATTCACCAGGCTGCTTATTTACTACTTCTAAAGGTTGAACTGCTAAATATTTAATAGGGTGATTGTGCTTCTTAAGGTGTTGATAAATGATACTTTTGAATTTATTGGGTCTTTTAAAACGATACAGATGTTCTTGAGTGCGTTTAGATAAATATCGTCCAGTTTCACCTACGTACTGAATACCGCATCCCGGTTTGTTTCATGTGAGTAAATAAATAATACTGTTTGTTTTTCAAGTTATATCAGTTTCAAAATTTAAAGAAAATGTGCGACCATTAAACGTGGACCTTACCGTATTGTTGGTGGAAAGACGGGGATATGTAAGTCATTTTTTCGCATGACACTTATCGATAGAAGGGTAACCACGATTTTTATTGTTAAAAATGTTAGCGATGGTAGTATTTTTAGATAAGCGATTTCAAAGATTGAGACGTGTAGATACCCTTTGAACGAGTTTAGTATTTAATATTTTTCCATTTCTAAGCTTCATATTTGTTTTTTGTTTGTGAATTATATTAGAAAGGAGCAAAGACTCCATAATATGAACCAGCATACAATGAATTAAATTATGTAAACATGATAAATCTGTTCGGCTAAAGATGTCAAACGCTATCCGTATTAATTACCCGAAAAAGAACGGGTATATCAGGATAGCGACTGACGTCTGACTAGATAGTAGAATGGGGCTGAATATTAAAATACTACTTTTTGATAAATATTCCTAAAGTAATGAACTAGAGAAGTTCTCGCTCGGACACACACTCCATAATCTAGTATATTATAAGAGCATAAACCTGAAGCACGGGGAGGCACTCTACTGTCTCCACACGGCACTAAAGACAAACTCTGTAAAAAATAAAATTGAGAATGGAAATGGGGAATGTGTCAAAGAGACAACAACCCGACCATAGAACAGACAACAGCAGAAGGTCACCAACAGGTCTTCAATGCAGCGAGAAATTCCCGCACCTGGAGGCGTCCTTCAGCTGGCCCCTAAACAAATATATATACTAGTTCAGTGATAATGAACGCCATACTAAACTCCAAATTGTACACAAGAAACTAAAATTAAAAATAATACAAGACTAACAAAGGCTAGAGGCTCCTGACTTGGGACAGGCGCAAAAATGCGGCGGGGTTTGATGAATGTTTAACGAAGATTTTGTTTGAATGATACTTTAAAAACATACAAACTTGATGAAACAAACCCAAATAAGCGACCAATATATATTCTCTTTCCTTAATAGTATCGAAAGAGGAAATAGAGTGATTTGCATATCGTGGTCAAATAAGGTAAGGTATATAATAATTATATGAGCTGGAACATAATAACCGTAATGGTTGTCACTTGAATGTTTTTACACATTACGTTGATTATCACTCAAATGATATAGAGTTGAATTTAAACCAATTGGAGTTGCCAAAGATGTGTTTCTACTAAATTGTTTACTACTTAAAACACTTTCTTGAAACAGTATATTGACCAATTACATATTGTACATAGTTTTACACTTGATCATACACTTCTGAGTAAATTTGTGAAATTGTAAACGTTATAATTGCATTGCACAAGTAATCAATTCATATTGATGTAAGCTTATCAATTTTAAGAAAAAGCAATAAGACAATTATTTGTAAATAATATAAACTTATTTATTACAAACATAATCTATTTACAATGTTATGACATAATATTTTGTTACAATCTGCACTAGGATCGGCTGTTCATCATATATAGATAATAAAACGAAAATTATTACTAAAATTGAAATATCAAAATTCTAATGTTTTCTAGACTTGATTGCGTTTTTGACGTTTTTCTTCTTTTTTTTTAACCATGGTAATGTCGACTTTTCTTCGACTTATTAAGTTTGATTGTCCTTTTGGTCTCTGCTTTCTCTTCGTACAGTTAATTGACTGATCTAAATCATTATTAATGTATGTTAATAAATCAGTCATAGCTGATACACCATTGTCCCATATTAGAGAAGGTTGAGCGCTCAAAGATATGCTTAACCCAACCGCATTCTACGTTTGCCTTTCCTTAGCCAGAATTGAACCTGCAGCCAAGAGGTTGACGTTTGTTATAATTGTGTTCCGTATATCTCCTCTAGTTTATAGTTTAATGAGGCTGTAAGTTCTAAGTATTTGTATTTTTCGAAATTTTTCATCCTCAACCTTTTAAAACTAACTACAAAGTATTAGCATTGGCACTCCGACTTCTACGTTTGGTTATAATTGTATCATTGACAATCACACCACACACCTATATTTTGTTATTTATTATTTCGAAGAAGGAATGTGCTTAGCAGTATTATGGCGTAATAATCATATTCCTAAGTATTGCAAGCAGTGACAAAATAAAAAATGTACAGAATCAGTCTGGTTTCTGACATACAAAGCTGCTACATACATGTACCAAAGTGTATTTTATGCAGTTTATGCATATTTCAAACTACGTTTTTATTCGTAGGTAGTCACAAAGCAAAAATGAACCAGTTAGTGCTATGTAAACTTGTATTTATATGAACGACCTTAAAGTCAACTTGAATGCTTGATACTTTATTTTAATAGTTAATCTGAATGTGATAAAGAACAAAAAACTGCTCAAATCGGGATATATCCGTGTTTTCTAATTGCATTTGAAAATGTTAGTATGTTGAATTTCGTATTTGTCATAAACGCAGAAATAAGAACGAATTTGTAAAAATGACTGGAGTGTTCAGATACGTGGTCATTTGTAAAGAAATTATAATAGAAGAGTTCGCCAATACACCAAAAAAGAATTGTATAGTAGTTGATATTTTTTATAAATTATAATTGGAAAGTTTATATAATTATACCTATGTTATCCATTAACAGGAGCACCATGCGATGCGCAGCCTTGTACAAACGGAGGCATATGTCGTAACCAGGTGAACAGCTATTTATGTACGTGTCCGGATGAATGGACTGGTCCTCACTGTGAAAGTAAGTTTAATTAGTCTTAAAATTGTTCGTTGTATAAGCCCTTTAGTAAGACTGACTAGGTTGGGAAAGAATGAAGAGGGTCGTTATAGAAAAATTGACAAAAATTAAAGAATTTGTAAATTGTGTTCTTCAACTTCAATTGAAGATGGAATTCATTTTCTGATGGAAAGTCCAGCATTCGAACAACGACAAGTAATATTAGTTTTTGCTTTAATCTAAATAGAGAAAACATATTTATTTGGTTTCTTTCTTGTGAACATGAAGAAATATTCAACGCTGTGGCTGTAATTTTTTTTAAATATTTAACAGTAAATAAACAACTGCTATGGTTAAATCCTTATTATTATAAGCATTCTCACTATTTTTATTTTTTTACTTATGTCTATTGTAATCATTATATATAACATGTCCTTTATGGGACGATAATTGGTTTAAATAAGTATTCGTATTTGTCAAATCCAACCAACCAAGTGACATAATTTTGGGTTTACAACAGGTGAACTTACCACAATTTTTATATTTTTCCATTGTGAGTTACTTACGATGATATATAATTAGAAATTTTTCTGGCGTTATGTATTTTTAATACTCCGTTTTCACCAATCAAAAACACATAATGTATGACATTCCTAAAATCAAGTACTATTTTTGAATGAATCTATTTCTTTTAGTAAAATTATGTGATGTTAAGATGGACTGTTCTGATCTCAAAAACCCTATCTGCAAAACGGGTATATACCAAATCAATATGAACAGCACATTTAATGTACTCTGTGAAATGAATGATAATGGAGGAAGCTGGACAGTAAGTACTATTAGTTAATGGTCAAATGTCCTTGATAGTCTATTTATAAATTAAGGACTTTGTTTCAAAATTTATTGATTTTTCACAATTATAGAAAAACAAGTCCTAGGTACGACAAAATGTATCTTTACCTTAAAAGAGGAAGTGAAGTGGTGTGATCATAATGTATAATGCATGATCTGACATTAATTTAGACTTGGTAAGTACTTGATCCGTAATCAGACAATAGCTGTGACTTCGTAAGTGCATTATCTGTGTTCCGACAATAATTGTGGCTTCGTAAGTGCGTTAACCATGATCTGATAATAATTGTGACTTCGTAAGTGCATGTTCCGTGATCTGACAATAATTTTGATTTCGAAGGTGAAGTATGCATGATCTGACATTAATTGTGTCCTCATAAGTGCATTATCCATGATCTGACAATAATTGGTACTTTAAAAGTGCATTATCTATGACCTGAAAATAACTTTGACTTCGTAAGTGCATTATACTTTATCTGGCAATAGTTTTGTCTTCGTTAGTGCAGTATGCATGATCTGACAATAATTGTGACTTCATAAGTGCATTGGCCTTGATCTGACAATAACTTTGACTTCGTAAGTGCATTATCCTTGATCGGACAATATTTTTTACTTCGTTAGAGCAGTATGCGTGATCTGACAATACTTGTTACTTCGCAAGTGCATTATCCGTAATCATGGTAATATGAATATAATTTTGACTTTTTTTACAAATGAATTACATAGAAGTGAAATTTACGATAACAAAAACTATCTTTAAAAAAGATATCCGACGACTTCAGATAGGAGCATTTTGTAAAACCTTTTCTGTTTATGTATATTTTATCATATTTTAACGCCTTAAGTTGACGTCAAAATTCTGAAAATTCTGAAAATTGAGCACTCGCACTTGTCTCTAACAAATATACATTGTTAATTATCGTTGGTTAACTTGTAAATGTATATAGAGTATTATCTCAGAGACTAGTGCCTTTGAAATTAAGTTAAATAAAATATTTACAAATGGTATTAAAAGACACCATACCACGTATCCTTATTATCTCGCCTGCGACGAAAGTCGCGGAAAGGCAGACATATATAGGAATTGGAATAACAGGCGACGTCTCCGGAGACGGCGACGGCGAAGTCTGCGGTGTCGGATCCGGCAACAGCGTCACAATTGTTAAGTTTTCTGCTTAAGTTAGTTTGATAGGAACTACTTGTGATAGATCATTGATATTTGGTACAAAGTTGCATTACTACCATTACATATCAGTTTAACGACTATTGCAAGGCCCTGTTCCCTAGGACATGGTCCAGTGACTTTGAATCAATTAGCAATGTTCAATGTTAAGTTTTCTGCTGAAGTTATATTGATAGGATTTACTTTTGATAGATCAATGATATTTTTTACGAAGTTGCATTACTACTAGTACATGTCAGTTTGACGACGTTTTTGAAGCCCTGCCCCCTAGGAAATGGTCCAGTGACTTTGAATTAATTAGGAAATGTCAATGTTAAGTTTTCTGCTTAAGTTAGTTTGATAGGATCTACTGGTGATAAATCAAGTAATATTTTGTATGAAGTCGCATTACTATCAGTTCATATTAGTTCGATGACTATTTCGAGGTCCTGCCCATTAGGTTATGGTCCAGTGACTTTGAATCACTTAGCAATTTTCAATGTTGAGTTTTTCTGGCTAAGACAGTTTGATAAGAACTACATGTGATAGATCAATGATTATATGTATATAGTTGCATTACTATCAATAGATATCAGTTTGACGACTATTTTTAGGCCCTGCCCCCTAGGCCATGGTCCAGTGACTTTGAATTAATTAGCAATTTTTAATGTTAAGTTTTTTTCCGCTTAAGCTAGTTCGATAAGAACTACTTACAATAAAAAACGATATTTTCTATAAAGTTACATTATTGTCTGTACATCTCCGCGTGTCGACCATTTTTAGGCCGTATCCACTATATCATGGTCAAGTGACTGAATTAATAAGCAATGTTGCTGTTCATCAGATAGGTGAGACAAATGTCTGTGTCAACCGTTTTTTTTTTTTTTTTTTATATTAAATATTTAATCATAGAGACTGATGACAGTGAACTGAAAACTTGCAAATTAGGTAAAATTTCTTATTGGATAATGACCATTTCAATACCTTTATTATGTTTATCTGCAAGTTTTCATGTTATTAATGTGAGATTTTCCGTCTGTAATTACTCCATTTATCTGTATTGCAATTTACATTCTTATGTGAAAACCATTTACACAATAATTTTTTTTTATAATTACTAATTTCACAATTTCAATGTGTTCAGTCTTGCTTGTAATCCCGACTGGAAGTTAATGTCACTACACAATTTGCATATTGACAAAACTGCTTTTGTTATACCTGCAATTAAATTGATTAAACGAAGAGAAAATATCTCTTAATTGGTGACAATATAATATGCTGAAGTCATCTTTATACACGTGATACAAATTATTTATGCTTTTGAACTTTACTTGACACCTATCTTGTGATGTTAAAATGTCAGATGAAAAAAAGTAATAAAAACAAGATGTATGGAATATCAAGCACTTACTGAATTGAATAATCACGTATTGACTAATAATAACAATCTGTACTCATGGGTGCAAGCGTTCAGTAATGAAATATTAAAATTAAACACAATTTCCAATTACAAAGCAAAAAATTCTTCTTATAGTAGCATTTAAACCATGGTTTCTGTAGAAATTACAGAAGTTTTTGGTGTCAGTTTAAGGATAAAAAAAACAAGAACAACAATCCGACAAATGCCAAAACATTGACTTCTCAAAAAAAAAGTGTATGTACCAACTTTCTGTAAATAACTCAAATTTATTGAGATTATTTTTTTGGAGATACATGTAGCTAATATTCATGACGGTTTACTAATTGGTTCTTACTTTGGTGAAGGTTGGCTCAGAAACACACGTCGTCGTTTGCTCAGACATCTACATTGTTTGTTTGTATCGGTTATATGATATGTCTCTGCAAAAACCATGTCCCTATACCATTAAGATTTTACTAATTATTTTAGGTATTCCAGAGAAGAATGAACGGCAATGTTGAATTTTACAGGGATTGGGATTCTTACAAACTAGGATTTGGAAATATGAGTGAAGAGTTCTGGCTAGGTAGGCTGTATGTCTACGTATTTGAGTTACAATTTGAATTAGCATAGAAAGTGCATTACACATGTAAAACGAATGTATGGCATATCTGGTCAGAGGTTTAGTCTTGAGTAGAAACGACGATAACAAATAGAAAAACGAACATTTCTAGACTGTTCTATGGTTAAGAAAAAATATAATATACATGTACAACAAATCACATTCTGTCTCTTGGTCTTGATGCAAATTAGATCTTTTTATGAAAGTTTTTTCGACAGGGATGGTACTCAAAAACTTGTGGAGCCGTATTTTTTTCTTTTACAGATTTATATCCTTGAATGCATCAGTTATAAACAAAAATGTTACAGACGAAGAAATTAAAATAGATTCCGGATTATTCCACATATTTCAATCAATTGAACAAATTGTACATTTCAGGTGAAAGATTGTGTTCAATATTTGTCAATACATGCCAATCAAATACCCTTGTACACGTAATTCATCTTACTAGGCTGGTAATATCCCTTAAAACATACGGGCATTTGAGTTACCATTGTTGTCAAAGCCAAACGAATAAAGGACAGGGAACCAGTCTGTTAATCTTACTAGCTGGTGAAAGCTGTTTAAAGTCCTAATGCCTAGTAATTTATAAAATGTTTCTTGACAACGATCTTGCAAGATGAACAAACACTTTGCGAAGGATAAGTTAAGCATCCGATAAAATATTATTAGCGTAGCACAGCCCATCAGATGATATTTTAAGATTGACCGTTTATCTTCTTTTGGTTAGATGAATTTCCTATTGGAATATTATGTTAAATGTCAAAGGCCCGAGTGATTGAACGAAAATTGCAATCTAAACTCAAAATAAGAATTTCAAAATTACAGTCAAACCTTCAAATAAAGGTCACCATCCGGAGCAGAGGAAACTGACCTTACACGAAAGGTGACCTGGTAATTCAAGTTTAATATGTATGCGGTATAAATGTAACTACAGTGAGAAAAGTAGAAGTTGACTGGCAAGACAGGTGTCGCTTGCTACAGTTGACATTTATAGCAGGTTTGAATGTACTTTATAATTCGTTTAATTTGCACATTTCAAAACCTTAACAATACCAATATTAACAGTCGCATGGAAAACAAACTAACTTTTTCGAAAGCCTTCTAATTGGCCCGGAAAAGTTCTAAAACCCACGCAAACTATAATTAGTTAGAAAGCATGATGTCCTGTAGCCACTAAGCAAAACAGCCAAAACCTTCTAAGGTCATCATTGTTAAAACAAAATAAACAGTTTGAATCATTCCCTTACTGAAGCGTTGGCTTCAGGACCATGGACCATGGTAAAATCGGTGACTGGCAGTTCACTTACAGTAGCTTCAACCCATCGCTATGATTCTCATAGGCCTGTCACAACACGAGTTTATAGAATAACATTAATCAAGTATGCCCTAGACCAAATTATACACCATATTTGAAAGCTTTCATATCGACATGGCATACACACAATCAAAACTGTTTGGGGTCAACATTGCATGTGGGATTTGCGTGCTTAATTGTATATCTACTTTAAATCTAATCCATTAATTTTCAGGTAATACATATTTACATTTATTGACAAACCCAGGCAACTTTACTATGAGAATCGAATTAGAGGATTTTGACGGAAATCATCGTTATGCTGAATACACACATTTCTCTATAAGCGATGAAAGTTCTGGATTCAAACTGAAATACAGTGACTATACAGGAGATGCAGGTATTATTAAAAATAAATTCAATAGTTGTTACAATTTTCTAGTAGATGTAGCTTTCCAGGACATGGGTATATTTAGCAGGTTCGTCAAAACAACATATCCTCTGACATGGCATTAAACAGTGGGATAAGTCACCGTGTTTGGAATAAACTTCACGGGATACGCTCGAAGCCAAAATTTGAGAAAGCAAAAGTTACGAAACAATTAAAATCTTAAAACGAAGAGAGGTTCTTTATATAAACACAAAAGGTCTAAGGTCAACTGAGTCTGAGGGAGTTTAAATTTATGAGCTATAAATTGTCAAACCAATATTTAAGGTTGCTCGGGTGTCTCCCATCATCTTGAATTGTAAAATAGCAGAAAAAATTGGTCTAGATATTTAATGAAATGTGCAAATTTGGAGAGAAGAATGTAATTCATTTGTCAAACTTTTCATTTTTGCGACTGTTTTTAAAAAAATCACAATTTTTTTGTTTGATTCAATTTTTTCATCTTTGCCATATACATGATATAAGGGTAGAACACTCAGATAATGTAACTTTTATACTGGAATGAGTTATGATTTTACCTATTTGGTTTTGTGGCTAGAAAACGAGTCCCGTGACCCGGAAATTTCTTTTCTTTTTTCGAAAGCCCATTGTAATAGATATCTTCTCATATTTTATCTTAAAAATCTATCATTTAGTTTTTTTTTATCACATTTATATTGTATATTCCATGAACAACCTGATAGCTTGACAAATGCCGCGTGATCCATACTGTTTATTATATACATGTATTTGACAAGGCGATGATGTAAAATACATTTTGGTAAATTACTTAAAAATTCATTCGATTTATAACATTGCGGGTCTTCTAATCGTTAATCAATAACACTCAATCAAATTAATATATCAATATGATTTTTTAGGAGATGCGCTTGCGACTCATAATGGACAGATGTTTTCGACTAAAGATAAAAATAAGATCAAATGTGCCCAGGAATTTAAAGGAGCTTGGTGGTACAATGCTTGTCACCATAGCAACCTGAATGGTCAGTATTTGAGCGGAAGGCATGCGTCATATGCTGATGGTTTGAACTGGTTTGAATGGAGAGGACATTACTACTCACTTAAATCGACAAGAATGATGTTCCGTAGAGCATAACAATCACTCATGTGTAACTTACAGTACAGATCATTGTTAACGTCACGACCGCTGCTCAATCTTAATATGACACTCAATAATAACAAAACAATCATTTGAAAATTTGAAACAGTTCGACTCTGCTATTCATCAGCGGATTTCTTTTCTATTAAAATGATTGAAATACTATATTTTTTGTTGACATGAGTGAACTATTTGAAAAATAGTATGTTACCAATTTTCACTTTGTCAAATATACATTGATTAAAAGACCATCAGAAACTTTTATAACTGGTCAGTGTGATATACAGGTTTAATGGACCCTTGATATCTCCTTCCTCATTATACCCCACGCAACGAGTTGCGGAGGGTATAATTTTTTGACCCGTCCGTCCGTCTGTCCGTTCGTCTGTCCGTCTGTCCGTCCGTCTGTCTGTCCGTCTGTCTGTCCGTCCGTCTGTCCGTCTGTCCGTTCGTCAGTCCGTCAGTCCTGTTTCTTGACATCGCAACTCCTCTCGAACCACACAACAGAATTTCACGAAACTTTTTTAGATAATAAGGACATACTATGTAATTGTGCATATCGACAGGGAATTACGATTCAATTCTTTTTCTAGGAGTTACGCCCCTTTGAACTTATTTACTTAAATGTACTACTGCAACAGTTTGTCATCGCAACTCCTCTCAAACCACACAACAGAATTTCATGAAACCTTTTCAGATAATAAGGACATACTATGTAGATGTGCATATCGAAAGGAAAATACGATTCATTTTTTTTTCCAGGAGTAACGCCCCTTTGAACTTATTTGCCCAATATACTACTGCAACCTTTTGTCATCGCAACTTCTCTCAAACCACACAACAGAATTTCATGAAACCTTTTCAGATAATAAGGACATACTACGTAGATGTGCATATCGACAGGAAATTACGATTCAATTTTTTTTCCAGGAGTTACGCACTTTTGAACTTATTTGCCCAATATATTACTGCAACCTTTTGTCATCGCAACTCCTCTCAAACCACACAACAGAATTTCATGAAACTGTGTAGATTATAAGGACATACTATGTAGATGTGCATATTGACAGGAAATTATGATACAATTTTTTTTTCATACACTTTTTTTATTTCTCCAATGACAATGTGGGGACGTGGGGTATGTGAGCGCGCTCACTAAGGTTCTTTAATTTGACATGTTTTACATGATTGAATCATAACTTTCTCTCCATCTTTGTGATCAAAGTTAATTTGAACTGATTTGTGGGATCGTTTCTAGCAGGTCAGCCTCAATGTTCTTGAAGAAGTGATACAAGTAAATGAATTTGAGGTTACAATATCATGCAATACTAGAAAAGCATATATTTATTAAACAAGACCACTGAAATTATCGGTCCTTATTGTTACCACTGCTGAACTATCTCAAAGCTGAAACTATATATTAATGTAAACAAATACAGCATGGTGACTGATTATTTTACTTATCATAACCTTCCCTCAAACTGCGAGGATTTTAAAGAAATATATAAAAGATAGGCGGAAGAAAACAACGGGATAGTTAAACTCATAACGCGGAAACAAACTGACAATATCATGGCAAAAAACAAAACAAAAAACGAAAAAAAGACTCAACAATAGGCTACAAAACACAACATAGAAAACTTTATACTGAGCAACAATCACTCAGTTTTTTTGTTGTGTGCATATTGATTCTTGTTCGGATCATTTGAATGTAATGGTAGTGATTATGAATTAAAAGATGAGTGTGTGTTGCGATGTGAATGTCAATTATAAGGACATACTATGTAGATGTGCATATTGACAGGAAATTATGATACAAATTTTTTTTCATACACTTTTTTTATTTCTCCAATGACAATGTGGGGACGTGGGGTATGTGAGCGCGCTCACTAAGGTTCTTTAATTTGACATGTTTTACATGATTGAATCATAACTTTCTCTCCATCTTTGTGATCAAAGTTAATTTGAACTGATTTGTGGGATCGTTTCTAGCAGGTCAGCCTCAATGTTCTTGAAGAAGTGATACAAGTAAATGAATTTGAGGTTACAATATCATGCAATACTAGAAAAGCATATATTTATTAAACAAGACCACTGAAATTATCGGTCCTTATTGTTACCACTGCTGAACTATCTCAAAGCTGAAACTATATATTAATGTAAACAAATACAGCATGGTGACTGATTATTTTACTTATCATAACCTTCCCTCAAACTGCGAGGATTTTAAAGAAATATATAAAAGATAGGCGGAAGAAAACAACGGGATAGTTAAACTCATAACGCTGAAACAAACTGACAATATCATGGCAAAAAACAAAACAAAAAACGAAAAAAAGACTCAACAATAGTCTACAAAACACAACATAGAAAACTTTATACTGAGCAACAATCACTCAGTTTTTTTGTTGTGTGCATATTGATTCTTGTTCGGATCATTTGAATGTAATGGTAGTGATTATGAATTAAAAGATGAGTGTGTGTTGCGAAGAATTTTTAATGTCTGTCTGCATGAACAAGAAACTTTAAATCCCTTTATTAGAATGTACAGAGTCGTGTCCGACTCGGAACATTTAATTGACATGCCGGATATATATGAGTCTTTTTATCATTTTAGCCCATCACCACAGGATGCATTGCTATCTGTCTACCAGGCCCTAAACGTAATTTCAAATGTACAAAAGTTATGACAGACTAAAAGCTTGTGAAATAATATTACTGAAAGGTCTATATGCAAGATATCTACCAAAAAGAAAAAGTACATTCCCATTTCAAATATATACAAAGTCTTGTTCGACTCAGAACTTTCAAATGCCTTATTTATAAAGCATGAAATTATTGCTACGAACTACCATGCAGTGTTGGTGAATGAGGAATACCTGTTTGCAAGGTCAAGGTGAATACCGATTTTAGAATGAAAGACCTTTTCTCGCAGTACATTTAAGTAATTGATATTATTTCTTAAATTAAAATTACCAAAATTATTTTCAGAAATTCCTACATGATTTTCACTTTCAAATAAATTGACAAATGTATTTAGGCAGAAGGAACTACTTCAAGTGCAAAGACGGGGGAAGGGGGGATATTAGACCTAAAAAAAGATATAAATTAACATCTTTAAAAAAGTCTAAACATGAGAGCACTCTGTGTGGATAATCGGGACCAAAGCCTAAATTCCCGCCGTGTTGCACATGGCAGCTAATAATCAGGCCCACCAAAATCAAGCTTTTCCGTATTTAGATGGGTTTCTTCTGATTGTTTGTAAGAATCCGAATCCTGTAAAAGTCAACATTGCCGTTCATTCTTCTCTGGAATACCTAAATTTAGCGGATTTACGAGCATGTGTTTCTGGACCAACATTCACCAGGTACGCTGGACTAACATTCACCAGGTACGCTGGACCAACATTCACCAGGTACGCTGAACCAACATTCACCAGGTACGCTGGACCAACATTCACCAGGTACGCTGGCCCAACATTCACCAGGTACGCTGGACCAACATTCACCAGGTACGCTGGACCAACATTCACCAGGTACGCTAGAACAACATTCACCAGGTACACTGGACCAACATTCACCGGGTACGCTGGACCAACATTCCCCAGGTACGCTGGACCAACATTCACCAGGTACGCTGGACTCACATTCACCATGTACGCTGGACCAACATTCACCAGGTACTCTAGACCATAATTCACCAGGAACGCTGGACCAACATTCACCAGTTACGCTGGACCAACATTCACCAGGTACGCTGGACCAACATTTACCAGGTACGCTGTACTAACATTCACCAGGTACGCTAGACCAACATTCACCAGGTACGCTGGACCAACATTCACCAGGTACGCTAGACCAACATTCACCAGGTATACTGGACCAACATTCACCAGGTACGCTGGACCAACATTCACCAGGTACGCTAGACCAATTGCAACATTCACCAGGTACGCTGGACCAACATTCACCAGGTACGCTAGACCAACATTCACCAGGTACGCTGGACCAGCATTCACTAGGTACGCTGGACCAACATTCACCAGGTACGCTGGACCAACATTCACCAGGTACGCTGTACTAACATTCACCAGGTACGCTGGACCAACATTCAACAGGTACGCTGGACCATCATTCACCAGGTACGCTGGACCAACATTCACCAGGTACACTGGACCAACATTCACCAGGTTCGCTGGACCAATATTCACCAGGTACGCTAGACCAACATTCACCAGGTACGCTGGACCAACATTCACCAGGTACACTGGACCAACATTCACCAGGTTCGCTGGACCAACATTCACCAGGTACGCTGGACTAACATTCACCAGGTACGCTGGCCCAACATTCACCAGGTACGCTGGACCAACATTCACCAGGTACGCTGGACTATTCACCAGGTACACTGGACCAGCATTCACCAGGTACGCTGGACCAACATTCAACAGGTACGCTGGACCATCATTCACCAGGTACACTGGACCAACATTCACCAGGTACGCTGGCCCAACATTCACCAGGTACACTGGACCAACATTCATCAGGTTCGCTGGACCAACATTCACCAGGTACGCTGAACCAACATTCACCAGGTACGCTGGACTAACATTCACCAGGTACGATAGACCAACATTCACAAGGTACGCTGGACTAACATTCACCAGGTACGCTGGACCAACATTCACCAGGTACACAGGACCAACATTCACCAGGTACGCTGGACTAACATTCACCAGGTACGCTGGCCCAACATTCACCTGGTACACTGGACCAACATTCACCAGGTTCGCTGGACCAACATTCACCAGGTACGCTAGACCAACATTCACCAGGTACGCTGGACCAACATTCACCAGGTACGCTGGACTATTCACCAGGTACACTGGACCAGCATTCACCAGGTACGCTGGACCAACATTCACCAGGTACGCTGGACTAACACTCACTAGGTACGCTGGACCAACATTCACCAGGTACGCTGGACTAACATTCACCAGGTACGCTGGACCAACATTCACCAGGTACGCTGAACCAACATTCACCAGGTACGCTGGACTAACATTCACCAGGTACGATAGACCAACATTCACCAGGTACGCTGGACTAACATTCACCAGGTACGCT